AAAGAAGCTTTCGAACGAAAGAATTGAAAGAAAAAAAAAGGGTTAGAAAGCCAAAATAAAATTTGATTAAAAGACAGAGAATTAAGGGTACATTTTGCGCAGCATTTTGGATGAACGCATCTTGAGCAAGAGCATGGTAGGAGCGGCAATACATTACGATCAGACAGCACACGAGCACGAGGCAAGTAGAAAATATGCTGGCACTTGTGAGTGATCCGATACAACATAACGTGGCCTAACCCACCGACCTACAGTGCTTGGCTGCTCTACATAACAACGGTCAATCTAGTATGCTATTCTTTATTTTTGGTCGGGCTGCATCTACGAGAGAATTGAAAGTATATTTTTTATTATATGTATAATTAAATTATATTATAATATTTATTTTATAATAAATTATTATAATATAAAATTATAATATAATCACGTTATAATTAATAAATATAATATAATTATAATATAAAATTAATATAATCAAATTAAATTACACTTTATAATGTTATTAAAGATAATTTTATTTTTTAATTTTATTATTTTGTTAAAAATATTTTATAATATTATAATATTTTTATATAAATTTTGAGAATATCTTTTTATTATTCTCATAATCATAGTGATTATTAATAAAATTTATGTTATCATTTAAAAGAAAAAAATAAAATAAAATATATAATATAAAAAATTATATTAAAATAAAAATATATAATATTAAAATAAAAATAAAACATATGACATTGAAAGTATATTTAAGAGATGATATTATATAAAAATTAATAATAAAAAATATAAATATATTAAACTTTTATTTTAATAAATAAAGATAAATTTAAAAATTGACATTACATTTTTAGTAAAGTACTTGTAAACGAAATGCTGAAATGTTATATTTTTTGTATTTTAATTAATATTTTATTTATATACTAAATATTGTAATATTATATTCTCTACAATCACATTACATTGTAAAATATTATATGTCACTTTAACATTTTCTTTTACATGTTTTTATTGGTACCAGAATTAATGTATAACATTATTAAATGCAACCGTCACCCACTAACTAACTTTTTTTTTTTTCCACATATGAAAGCCCATATAAAGATTTGAAAAATATGTTGTCCCATTTCTTATATAAGAGAAAGATACGTTTTATTTTATAAAAATCGTATATATTTGATGTTAACATCATTTCAAATTAAAAATTACTTAAGTCAAGATGAATGATTGTATCAATCAATTAATTAATGAAAATTGTCCCAAAATGACTTTTGTTATAGAAACGATGAAATTCCTTTTCTTTTGGCAGATGGGGGACAAATGTCCAATACGAGGAAACCAATATTGTAACTATAGGTCCAACTTGGTGGTTGGTGGCTCTATATATATATATATATATATATATATGAAGGCTAGTAAGGTGCTCAAAGAGGTTGGGATATTTCATTAAAAGAAATAAGGGCTTGTGTAATCTGGTTTCGCAATCGTATATTTAGGAAAAGACGGGAATAAATCAGAAAGAATATGCGAACAGGCGGAACGTGACGTAAAAGTCAGACGCACTCACTCACACTAGCTAGTGCATGGATCAGTGGCTGCTAGAAAAGATGTAGACAGAAAGGGCCAAAATTCTTTATTGCACGGTTGCCCTATCCTTCATCCATTCAAAAGCTTTCATAATTTCCAACGATTGGCAAAGACTTGCAGAGAAACAACACCAAAAGCCAAAAAGCTCTGCCCAAACGCGTGGGGACTGAAAGGCCGCCGCAAGGCCGCACGCCTTGGACGCGTTTATTGGCGAAGTCATTGGTCTTCAAACGATGGAAGAAGGAAAAAGGAAATGAAAATAAAGAAAAATATCATCCCCTTGACGTGCATGTTCATCCGTTTTTTTGGATTGGTTCGGAATTTAGATATTATCCAGGTCGTGGTTGTGCCTTTGACAAAGGATATTGATTAGCAAGTACTCTGCCAGCTGGCTTCCTGCTTCTACATAATTTAACAATATTTAAACCGCGCATGGCCAATTGACTTGGCCCTAGTTTATTATTACAGTCTAAAGATCAATTTTAGAAAAAAAGAAATCTTAAATTTTGCTAATAAAATCAATCAACACAAGAAAATTATTAATGTTTATTTTTTAAGTTTTTTAAAGTTTTAAATTTACTTTTATAATAAAATAATATCTCAACACATCAAGTATAAAATTTATTTTATTTAATATTTTGATTGTTCATTTATTTAAAAACTATAATAAATAAAGATATTTATTTTTTGTTAGTCATCAAAATCCAATGATTTGACATTTTAATGTTTTAATGTTTGATACATATATGTATGTATATATATATATATACAAGTTACATTTGTCAAAATTTGTGAGGACAGAGGTGGAGTTAGTTAATTTTTATTAGAGGGTTAAGAATGAAGAAGAATAAAAATTAAAAATTTTTAAAATTAATATGTTAAACTTAATCAATAATTAAAATATTCATAATACACAATTATTTTATATATCATGTAAATCAAAAAGAATAAAAAGGGAAAAAACTTACAATAGTCTTTTTGTAAAGTTGTGCTCAATGATATTTCTTGAATTTCAATTCATCGATTATTAACTCTATACTAAAAGACTAGTAATGTTTTTTTAATATAAATAACTAAATTATTTATAAAAAAACTCATCATTTATTTGGTTTTAAAATCTTATTTTCATAATTTTCATTTTTGAAAATGCTCTCTTTATAGTTATTGTAAAAACCGAAAGAGTCAAAACAAAACGAATAAATTTATCAATTAAGATTAATAAAAAAATGATACATTGATAAAATTTTATATAATAACCAACAGAGCAATACTACAACTTAAAATTTAAAATTATATAATAATTTCTTTAATTTTTAAAGACTAAAATCATAAAAAAAATTCAAATAATATAAAAAAGAAGAACATGACAAATAGAAGATAAAACCTACATAACAAAAAGAATGAAAAAAATATGATTGATGATTCCTAAAAATTTTAACTAAGTCCTTATACCCATGCATTTTGTTCAATTTAATCTATATACTCAAAATTAAAATAATTTAATTTTTAATTTTAAGAATTTTTCTAATTTAATCCATTTCTCAAACAACATTTAATTTGACCATTAAAAATAATAATGTCAACACTAACATGGCAAGCATAGGTGGCTTGAATTGCTTGATAGTATCACATTAGCATGTGAGGTTGACATGGCAGTGTCTCAAAGTAAATACCTCATGCACACCAAAGTCCTTACCACCATGTCTAAGCTCTTGCTTTTGATTATTTCTTACTTTTGCTTCTTTTCTTCTTTTTATTTTTAATTTTATTTTTATTTTTTTTCTCCAAATTACATCGTATTGGTATACTTTTAGATTTTGAAAAACCCTAATTATAAAAGCATCTTTTTCTCAAGTTTACTTTCCCTCTCCCTTTTAACTTTTTTTTTTTTTGAGTTGAGTTTATGAGGTTATTTTATTATTTTTTATTTATATTAATTATTAAATAAAATTTTTATTTTAAATGATATTAAATATATAATAAAAAATTTAAAAAATTTTGAGAGATCCATATTAATGCTATGGAGGCATATAAGCGTGAAATGGTCAACTTTTTTAATATAAGTTGTAATACGCCTTAATAAGATAAATGATTAATGGAGTTTAGACGTGATTTCAAATGTCGAAGAAACTAAGAATACAAAAGCGACCATCCACTAGGCAGTTCTGGGAAACAATAATTAATGATGTTGCCGGTATAATTGAATAACCAATCTTGGGATACAGCATTTATTTATTTTACCCAAATATAGATTCGAATAAATGCTTGTTTTGTTGAAGAATGTTCTACCACGTACAGAGGGAACTTATATGCAATTCGAGCATTAGTTTCTTTCTTTATTTGTAATGAGTCACATAACCATTCAATGAAAATGACTGATACCCACACTAATCATTCTTTGAAATGCTATATGGTTCTAATTCTTAATTTTTGAATATGCAATGCTCTTATTTTTACCGTATTTCAAATTTATTTTATGGTTATTTTTTATTTTTGGCATTTAAAAAGTACTGACAATCAATATTTAAAAAATTAAAATTTTGAAAAATATAAAATATATGAAAATCAAAATAATTTTTTATAATTTTTTTGAATGTCAAATGGGAAGAACAACAAAGATCAAAAGACTTATTGAAAATTATACCTATTATCTGAGATAATATTTTGTAGGTAACGTTCGTAAATTTTTTTTTGATTAAATTAAATAAAAGCATAACAGGGGAAATTAGAAACTAAACATATTATTGACTATTATTGTAAAGGTAAAGCATTATTTTAATAGGTCAATGAATAAAAACAATTAACAAAGTCCAAACTTAATTAAAAAAAATAGATTAGATGCTTTTTGAATCAAATAATTGAGAAGAGTAGATTGGGTTTGGGACCAACAAAAACTTTAGCCATATGAAGTTAGAGACAAAATAGCATAACATGCAAGAAAGGAAAGCAAGAAGAAGAGATTTTCACTTTTGAAAGTTCAAAGTTCAGACGCCCATCGCTATCAAAAGCAAGTTGCTGTCATTCAAAACGCGTAGAATTTAAGTGATGGGCGATACCGCTTTGCATGCCCATGGAGAAGGAGAAAACGTATACATACAAATATATATAGAAACTATTGATAATTATTCACCTTTGTTTATTAGTGGGATATGGGTGGAATATGTTGACTACAAGTCAACGTCTATTTGTTCAAGTTGTTGTACTAATTAAGGAGTATATCAAAGTAGAGAGTTGAAGAGAAATGCACATATTGTTTGTGTGCGGGTTTGGGTCTTGGCCAGAGAAGCAAAGTTGTGGTTGCTCTTACATAAGCATGGGCCTTCAAGCTGCTCATTGATTCTCCCTGGTAATATAGGAGCCAAGGCTACTTAATACAGCACAAAACTTGAGACTCAAAATCTGAGACATGTCAAGTGTTTTTCAAAATTTAGTTTTGCACTAGTTAATATTTACAACCAGCAATATACACCCTATAAGGTTTGGTAGAAGTTAAAGAAGTACAATCTCATAATACCAAGTAATCCAAAAAGAGAGCAGAGTTTATGTCATGAAGCTGTCTAATACTAGCGGCTCTCCTCAACAAGAGGTTGGCTATTTGATTAGCTTCCTAAAACAAAAATATACTTTGACACATGCAAAAACAGTCGAATCTTCAAGACTGTCAACCACGATGGGTTTGTGGTTGAGGTTAATACACCATATGCCTGCAAATGCAATAAAAACCCAGATAAGAGTCTGTTTCCAGGAAATCAATGTCAACATCTCCGGCAAGCAAAGGGCTGATATTCAGACATGTCACCAGTTGACAAGCAAACATTAAAAAAAAAAAAAAAGAATAGATTAAATCATCATTATGTACTCGAATGATACCACTACAGCTTGTCCAGCCAAGATTACCCAAAAAGAGGAATCATCAATGTTTAACTAAATTCAAGGGCCACAAAGGGCCGTCCATTTGATATTAATTCAAATGAAGGAGAGTTCTTGCTATGCCTTTTAACGGAACCAATATACCCTAAAGAGGTAGCATGAGCCTGAAGCAAATCAGAATTGATATTCACCAGTTAAAAACTACAAATAGCTTTGGTTTCCTCTGTTCTAGACATACCAAAACAAGAAATAAAGTAATGCATGGGATAGGGTCTGATGCTTGGTCAACTTGGTCAAGAACTCTAATCCATCATCACTAATATAAAATTGAATGATAAAAATAATCACAACTTAAGTTAAACTTGTCTACTTTAAAATCATTCCAATCCTATTTGATAACATCTAAGAGGTTACGCAAAGGTTGTGAACGGGCTTGGCTCACCACTGAACCCTCTCCCAAAAAGCACAAAAAGAAAAAAAAAAAAAAGGGTGGAGCAAGCATTTGACCCCTTCTTACTCTATTCTCTTTCCATCCATAGATTAATTTGAATTTCACTTGGTATAAAACTCGTAAAGTATGAACGGTAAATATTACGTAATAATTAGTAAAGATTGAATACATTGATGTATTTAGAAGAGTATATAAGAGGGAATTGATTTAAAAAATCACTGTTTCCTTCACAAAATTCAAATTCACTACTTGACTTCAGCAAATATATGAATTTGACCACAATCATGATTCATGAAAACTGTATTTCTATTAGCTCTATTACCTAAATTGCACTAGATATATAATCTAAATTTCTCAGTCCAAATTCAAATATTAAAATGCAACTCATAGGATTTAATAATGATACTTTAATATATTGTATCTCTTACCCGTATTATTATGGTGAAAGCATCCTTCTCATCAACATAGGGCAATACTCTCATCTTCAACTATTTCTTTTAGAAACTAACTCTAATAATTCAACATAAAATAAAAAACAGCTTATTCCCGGGAAGTAATCCACCTTCCAAGCTAATTTTTTTCCTCATCCTGAAAGATTTTAATCATTCCTTCATTCTATAGACTCTGCAATTCCTCTTCATTATCCTAAAAGCAGTAACACCAACAGCAATTATCAAAGGCAAAGGACTACGAAAAAAATAGGAAGAAAGTTAGAAAGAGCCAAAACCTACCTTTTTTTTTTCTTCTGCTCATGAAAGTTTACTCCGCCTCTACTACAGGAAAACCAGACTCACATTCTCTTGCAAGGAATAACTCACATTCTCTTTCAAGGGATGAGATACCCATCAAGGCCTGAGCTTCCTTCAAATAAACCTTAATCATCCTAATGGCCTCATTGAGCGAATTGGTAGCGATTAACACGTTGGCGACCTCCTCATCCTTAATGGCAGCCTCCACTTGACGTCGACCACTTCTCAGTTCCTCGGTGGTCACCAACTTGGATGCCTTGGATTTTTCCAAATTTGCAATTCTACCCCTCCAGATTCTGTTAACGGCATCCAAATACCTGCCATTCCCGCCCCAATTAACGGCCAAGTACTTGGCGGTGCATTCAAGTGCGACAGCGCAGTAAGCTCGGTTCATGGAGTCAGTGATTCTGAGACATTGGCTGCAGTCGATGCGCTCGATCATCTCCAAATGGCCTAGGATTTCCTCCGAAATGTTGCCGCTCAAGATTTTAGCTTTGATGGAGAGGAGGAGGAATACTTTCTTGGGGCGAGGGTTGCCGTCCAAAGGCGGGGCAGATTCCAAGCGCTTCTTCATCAACATTAGGTCGACTGGTTCCCACGTAAGGAAGTCCATGAACATACGGATTATTTCTGGGTCCATTTCTCCATCCATTGAAACTCGCAACCCTAGTGTGTGATACGGAAAGGGTCACTCTGCGTAGTGTGTTTGCTCCTTTGGCATCTGAGCTACAGTAATACATAAATTAAAATGCTTCCGGCCCACTATTCCACGTCGGGTTTTCTTGTTCTTTCTTTGTAGTCTCTTACTTAAAGCATCGGAGTGGGATCACTTGAGAGTAGGAGATTGGATTGGCTTGGCCCAGGAGCAGCTCTGTCGATCTCGGCATCAACAATTATTGTATAAATACCTTAAATGTGCCTTCAATTTTATTCTTTGGTTTCTCAGTCCATCAGCATGTCAATTTTGTTCCATACCCTTGTTTTCTTTTTTTTTTATTATTATTGAAAGCCTTTGCATGAGTAACAGAATATCTATAACAAGGCAACACGCACCCTATACAAGGATTGATTTCTGAATCCATCCTAACATCATATAAGAAACAGTTCATAGAAAAGAGGAGTAGAGTGCATATCAGGAAGCTTTCTAGTACCATCCGCCATTTAATTAGCTTCCCTATAACAAAAATGTAGTTCAGCCCGTTCACAAACAAGGCTGAAACAAAACAGAATTAGTGAGTCGCAGGTTTGAAAGTTAAAATGGCTTGGTTTCTGCTGTTCCAGACATACCAAAACAAACCTGTTGATAAAAGTAATGCACGGGAAAGGGTTTGATGCTCAAACAACTTGGTGAAGAACTGTAATCCATAGTCTAAGAAAATGTTTAAGAAGGCACTTTCTTGGCTTCTAAGATGCAAGAAGCTTGGTACACGCAGGTAAGAAACTTTTGAAAAATATGAAAACAATCGGTTCAATGTCTTCAGGATTGTCCCAGAAAAGCTGGCATCAACTTAAAGAGAGAAATTTCATTTATGTTAAAGGACAGAAGTAGGAACTCTGGGGTGATCAAAAAGCCAAAAAAATTAACAAAAATTTGACTCGGAGAATGCTTCCAACTTCCCAGATTTTGACAGTACAGTTCAGACAAAGGTAGGTTTACTCAGTTTGCATTCAACTAGCTTCTGACTTTAGCCCACATATCCAACAAACAAAATGGACATATTGTTCTACATGTTAGATCTAGTTTTATATAATGCTTTGCAATATTCAGATAACTCTCCAACATACTAGAGTACATTTTAATAGGTCAAAATACATGAATTTAGGCTAATTGATCCATGATGAATACATATCTGATGTTTAACCATATGTCTGGAAGTAAAAAAGTAAAAGAAACAAGAGTGAGCCGGTCAAAAGGTGAGAAGAGTAGAGTAAATGCTTTTCTCCATCTTGACCGGAACTTGCCCCATTTAAGAATTAAAACTTGTCGTCTAGGAAATGTTAGGAACAGAGAACTTACAACAATACAATGCTGCCTTCTCCAAAGATTGAGGAACAAGAAGAGATCTATTGACATAAAGATTAATCTGAAAGAATTCTTAACTGTTTCATCCAATCAGAGTTGCACCTTTTTAACAGAGCCACCACAGAGATGCACAGAGGAACAACACCAATCCGTTTTCTGCTCAGAAGGATACTAAAGTTTTAGTAGTCGTCAAGAAGATCTTTCTGTGGAAAAGGATGGTGAAGATGCAAACCTCTTCTCCACTTTCCACTTTTTTTACTCCAACTGGTTCTACGACTGGAGCTTCAATTGCAGGGAAGGCATAGAAGGGCTTACGACAGAGACTGGCTTGGGATACTTAAGTTTTTCACACTCTCCTTTTCCTGGACCATTTGGTACAGCATACGCACCTGTTAACTTGCTTTTGCCCATCTTGCTTAAGGAGCAGGGACAACCTCGAACCTGTTGCTCCAATGCTTAGCAAGAGGGGCGAGTGCAGCAGTTACATGGACCCCTTCCTATCTGTTGTTGCCAGCACAGCACATAATGAAGTAAAATAATGAATTCGACAAATTGAAGTTAGGCTTCAAGAGATTTTGAAGGAGTTCAAGTCATCTCTAAACCCTTCCCCTCAAAGGGCAAAAAAGAAAAACAATGTTCAAAAAGGCAGAGTGCATAAATTTTACTCCCTTTTATTCTGCCCTTGTTCCATCCATAGACTAATTTGCTATAAAGCTAATAAGCATGACTATTAATTTGCAACAATCAGAAATATTCAACAGATCTGCGTAGTTGCAAGAGTATGAGGAGATGGATTTAATTCACTCTTGCCTTGAAATATTTCATATTCACAACTCATTATGAACCTAACAGTATAAGAATTTGAATGTAATTATGGAAAATTTACGTTTGTATAGGCTCTATATCATTATGCTGGATATGAAACCTAAATTTCTCATTCATTTTATTGCTTCATCCCGAATGATTTTAACCAAAGTAACAGTTCGACATGATTTTTTTTTACCTTCCTCTTCATAGACAATAGCATCAGAATTCAGAAGCAGTTTTCGTTACTTGGGTTTTATATGCCATCCGTCACATTGAAGAAGTAAGAATAAGGATAAAGATAAAGAAATTGCGAAAGCCTACCCTTTTTTTTTTTTTTT